CAACCAAGGCACTCACTGTGGACTCATAATGAGGAGGCTGGCATTCATTATTCTCTACCCTGTCTGCTGTCATCTGGCTGTTCTTACATGAGCTCCCATGGGTTTCTGTGCCTCCACCATCTCTAAGCTTTCCTATCCTGTCTACACCAGACCTCAGGCTGTAAAGAGAGGGTCTTTAATAAGGGGATTAAAAACATAACAAATATTTCCTTAGGCAGCTTGTCCAAGTCCTGCCACTCAGATGTCCTTGATTTCTAAGCAACAAAAAAAGCTCCTGAAATTTTAAGGGGATCCAGACAAAACTAGATCTAAGGCTCGCTTAAGTTTTTACACATTATCCTAACAATTTTTTTTAACTTTGATGATTGATATCTTTTAAAACTCATTTGTGTTGATGATTTGTTTTATAATTGTTTACTTTTTTACCTAATTGGAATTGTCTTACTAGCTATTTTTGATTGAAACAGAATTTGATGTGACTCCTTTTAAGAACGAATTTACATGCAGTGAGATAAAACTTGAGAGTTTTTCTGTATTCTTCACTATGTTGTCAGATCCAGAATTTGTTTGTGTTTTAGTACTAGGATTTGGTTATAAAATTAACAAATAATTACCTAAAGGTTGTGACCCAGTTGTGGTTCTTGTGAATTAAGCCTATGTTACTGCTCTTTAAGAACTATATTGTTTAAAAATTCCTACTGTTATGATTGTACCTGGTTTACAGTTTAAGTTCAAAGTTTAAAAAAACCATTTATTTTAAGTACTATGAAAGTGGAAATAACATCTTCTAATAAGAAGACAACACAATAATTCAATACCTGGAACTTGATCATAATTTGAATACTATTTAATATTTCATATTTAATCCAATTCAATCAACATTTATTAAATACATACCACTGACTAGCCAAAGCATTATGGGGATTAGAAAGATGGGAAAAAATTATAGCTCCTTCGCCCTTCTCTCCCATGCCCCAAACATCCATAGTCCACATACTAGCTGAAAGGACTGATGGAGATAAAATAAATATAATGCAAGAGAAACTGCAGTTCATATCAGAAGAAGAGTATGGAGTGTTTGAGGAATATGGAGAGAGATAGATTAATTCCAGTTTGAAGGATACATGGGGAGGTGGAATTTAAACTATGTTCTGGACTTAGGGTAGGTAATCTAGTTATTCAATATCTTCAGTAGTAATTTTCAGAATCACCACTTAAAGTATAGTGTTTACTTCAGAAAATATAGAATTAATATTGTTACATTGATTTTCAACATGGGAGCATGTCAGAATCATCTAGAGGAATTTGTTATAAAGACATGCCCACCTGTCTGTCCCCCAGATTCTTAATTGGTGAGATTTTGGTGGGCTTTTGGGCACACCTCCTCCCTCCTCCACACACATGCACATACACACATGCACAGAAAGCAAGAGAAAGACTAAATGCCATAATGAAAGCTTTTACCTAGACATACTCCAAGGTGAAATATAGTTTCTACAAATACGTTTTTTAGACAGATAATGTTAAGGTAATGGAAAGATCTCCTTTGACTCTTGAAATTAGAAAATTTATCACTATAGTTAATTTTTATTTAAGGTTACCTTACATGTATTTATGAAATGTACTTCACTCCTTTCTGGAATCAAGTGGAGTAAAAAAACCAAAATAGGTAAATAATCGATATCTAGATGGATAGCAACTGACCTGAATGATTTAATGCTCTGCATTTCTACTGTTGGAGAGCTGGCGTTGGAGGACTACCATATAAAGACAGGTTCCCACGCACAGGTGATCCACCAAGCCATGGTTAAATGTCCTGCTGAGCCTCAGGCCCTCCCCTACTCCATCAGTCACAGATCCACATAGAAAAATCCCCAGGCTTAAGACAGTCTACAGTCCTAATGTACAGACAGCACTGAGCCCTTTGAAACTGCAATTTCAGTATAACAATCTTAGTAATATATGCTATTGATTAGTCTCCTTTCTCAATTATTTTACCTGGGTTGCTTTCTTTTGAACACCATAATCATATCCTTATAACACCAGAAATTGACCATTTTACCTCCTTTTACTTGACCAGTGTGTAGTGCAGAACTGACACTCAGTTTCAGTCTTAGAGCTGACTGTTGTTCATAGAATCTAATTATGTTGACAAATTAATATTTCCTAGATAATTTACATATGTTGTAGAATCTTTTCATTGGAAACATTAGTTTGCATGGGAAACAGCCAAAATCTTTATTAAAATCCTACAAATACCAGAGACTAGTCCCCAACAGTGGAGTCAAGGCAACTTGCATTATGGGATAGTCTAACAATGTTCAACTACCTGGCACAACAAGGAAAATAAGAAGGCTTCGTATCCCTGAAATGTCTCCCTTGGCTTCTCTCATTCAAATATAGACTGGAATCAATTTTGTCATCAGGACTATCGCACAGAGGTAGCACTTTGACTAGGTAAACAAGATTTCTCTTTTTCAACTAGTGCAGCCATTTGAATGTGGTTAATTATTTATTAAGTGCTAATATTTTGTGAAGCTGTGTGAGAAGCATTAATTAGGATAATAATAAAAGAGGATATACTGTTCTGTAAAAGCAGGAAGCTGAGTTTTGAGGAGATAACCCTGGAGAGTAGGATGAATAACTTTCCTTGACAAAATAACTGGCTGGCTGCTGAGAGGAACAATGGATGAGCCTTCCACTGTGACTGCTCTGTTTTCCCCAATGTGCCCCAAACCATGGTTGAACACAATAAGACAAGAAGCAGAAGAGAAATTGATGGAATCAGATGAGGGATGCAGCTCCAAAGTTTGAAAAAGTCTTATAATCACTTGAAAATAAGAGAGTAGTTGAATCAATTTAAGAATCTAGTAATTGTGAAGGATGGTATTGTTTATGTTATACCATAGGAAGAGATTAACCTTATCATTAAAAAAATATACAAAATACAATGGATCCCCATAGCCTCCTCATGCTCACTCTAAGCACACACTCATGCCATGATTTATGCCCCGGCTTAACGTATTTTCTTCTATTTTATTTTCCTTGTTTTCTTTTCCTCCCAGGTAAGCCTAGCTGAATGCCTCAAAGTTGCTAGGACCATGATGCAACTTAACTGCATATCTCCCACTCACACTGTAATTGGAAAAAAAGCTTTTACATCAAAAGACTAAAACCCTAAGTGTAAAATTTCAGGCAGCAGTCAGTTGATAGAAGGGGTGATTTTTCAAATCCTTCCTGGCTCTTCCAAAGTTCAAGCCCACAGATTGACACTGACCTTGCCTATTATAGACCTACTCTTTTTAAGCTGGAAGTTTCTTTTGGGATAAGGCCACCCATAGAGAAATATTTATATCTCTCTCTCACTGACGTTGAGAAAATCCCCATTCTTTTCCCTTGTTTTCATGTTTTCTGTGTGTTAGAAACAGGATTTTTAGAAGCAAAGTTATAGTCCATTCAATCGTTCATTTGCATACGATTTATGAGTTGCCAAAATGTTTTATGCAATGTGCTGAATGCTGCTAAGATCCAAATGAACAAAACACTGTCCCTGTCCTCAGTCAGTAGAGAACACAGTGCAATAGTGTGCTATTGATGTTAAGACAGAAGTCTGTTCAGGATTACATTGGGGTCACAGACAGTGAGTGGTAAATTCTATCTCCAGCACCCACACCTATATAGGAACTGATTAATCTCTGACAAAGAATATTTCCCCCACTGCGTAAAAAGATACAATATTGTAACCCCTGGTAGGAAACTAGCAGCTGCCCTTACTTCAAATGGGAAAAAGTTATTTTGGAAAATTATGCTCTAACTCAAAGTCATCACGTTAACCACGGAAGTGTGGTAAGAACTGTGAAACTCATTACCTAAACATAAACCAGAAAAAAAGACGTTAGAGAATAGACCAGACATGGAAATGTATCCTAAATAATTCTGTACCTGCACTTTTGTAAGCCAGTTTTTCAAAGCAAAGGCTAATCTTTAACATTTTGGCTGGTTTACATATACAAATGATGAGGAAGAAGTCACCTTTTATTCTTTGCAAGGTGCCTTGCACATAGTAGGTGGTCTAGAATTATTCCTTTAATGCTAATTTTAGGACGAAACAGCATGATGCAAGTTGTAAGAATTTGCTTTTTCTGCAACACAGGTATCTTCTTTATTCTCTTTCGACCTTTGGAATTTCTGATACTCTATTTTGATCTTTATAAATAGTTTGTGGTAAAGGTTATAATTTGTTTATCTAAATTCCTTTCAGTCATTCAAGAGATACATATTCAGCATTTGTTTTGTACTAGGCATTGATCTAGGTACCAAGTATGACAATGAACACGAAAGACCAAGAGCTTACATTCTAGTGGGGTAAACAGACAATAAACAAATAATCAAACAATAATTTCAGGTAGTGACGAGTGTATAAAAAATAAAACAGTAATGCAACAGAGCATTCTTGGGGTGGGGGCTACTCTACATTGTGTAGTTACGGAAGGTCTACCCAAAGAGGTGACATTTGAAGAGAAACCTGAGAAATGGGAAGAAATCAGGCAAGTAAAAGTCTGGAGAATCTAAAGCAAAGTCATTTTGAAAATTTGACCCAAGTACATGGACCACAAACAGACCAGTGTGCTCAAGTCAAAAGTCTCAAAGTTTTCCTTGATTCCTCTTCCGTTCCATCACCCTTTCAGCCAAACCTTCATCTAGACCTGTCAGCATTACCTACAAAACAACACCTCAAATCTCTCCATTGCTCCCCTGAGCAATCCACCATCATCTATCACCTAGCACTGCTCTGGTCATTATGGCAGCCACTAGCCCCATGGTTATTGATCATTTGAAATGTCTGAATGCTCCAAGTGTAAAATACACACCAGATTTCAAAGGCTTCCTATGAAAACAAGTAAAACATCTCATTAATAATTTTTATTCTGCTTATATACTTAAATGATAATATTTTCAATAGATGGGGTTAAGTAAAATACTTGTAAATATTCTTTTACCTGTTTATTTTGACTTATCTACTTCTTCGTTTTCTTCCGGCATCAGACTGTTGTGCTCCACAGGAGAAAGAACCTGAAACAATTTTATTCACTGGTGTATCTCCAGCATTTAACAAAGTACCTGTTTCATAGTTGTACTTGATAAACATCTGTTGCATGAATAAGTGAACAACTTGCCCCCATCACTGCCTTGTAAAACTGCTTCGTCCTGGCATTTGAAGTGTAGGTACTGAAGACATTAATTTTAAAGTTTACTTCTAGAGCTGTGTTTATGGTTCCTCTTTACAAGTGATGTTATGGAAAGTCTCCTGACACAGTTGCTTAGAAATCACTAATTATGACACTTTGGAATGGAAATTATGTTTCCTCATTTAGGTATGTATAGATTTGACAAAAACATCACTTTTTTATGCCTAGGAATAGCTCTATCACATGCCACACAAACCAATTAAACACAATTCTCACAATTTACAGACAAGCTAACTGAATGTCACAGAGGTGAGTAACTTATCCTGTAAGTGGAGGAGCTAGTATGTGACACTAGGTCTGTATGATGTGAAACTCCAGGTTTGTTTTTTTTTTTTTTTTTGGATTACTCTGAGTAGCACCCTGCCTGGTGGCATAGTGATTAAGCTTGCGCATTTCGTTTCTGCAGCCTGGGGTTTGTGGGTTCGGATCTGGGGTGTGGCCCTATACACTGCTGATCAAGCCATGCTGTTGTGACATCCTGCATATAAAATAGAGGAAGATTGGCAACAGATGTTAGCTCAGGGCCAATCTACCTCACAAAAAAAGGAAAAAAAAGAAAAAACATTAACAAATGCTTTACTCTGAGTAGCATTCCAAAGTACAAGACTGTGAAAGGAAATGAATGTGGATGTGCTAGAAGGCAAGATGCCATGACAGATGGGTCAAGAGTCAGAATCAGAAGCTTTGAGAAGAAAGATTTACTGGAAGGAATGGGATACACAGTACTTTGTTTTTAGAAAAATTAATAGAGATATTTGTATAAATTATATATTATCTCCTCCTTCCCTCCTCTCCTTACCTCCTCCCTCCACCTTCATTCACACAGGAACATACACTTTGAGAACATCAAGTTTTGGGAGTGGCAAGTTTAATAATCACAGCGAGAGTGAAAAAGTGTCTCTCTCAAACCTCCCTTTCTTTTTAACCATTGTGTGGGTGTTTGCAAGGCAAGACCCTCCTTTATATTTCATGCTATAAATCTTCTTTAGAAGGACATGTTGGATTTCCACAATTTGCATGTAAGTTCTTTAAAGGCAAGGATATTCTTCAAATTCTTTTATTGTTCTGCTCCCAATGCAAACACATTAAAGTAACAGAATCCCTAGAATTTGAGACATTATATATATACCGTTTGTAACTGTGGCATACAGAATGGATTAATAATCTTTGATCCATGACAAACTCTTATCATTTATTTATGCATGGCCCACTTTTTTTATTTATATAGTCATTTTTAATAATGAAAGAAGCACCTGAGAACTTATCACCCAAAATAAAAGCTCCAGGTGTTCTAAAAGCTACCACGTGGTCCCCAACATCTCAACCTCCTGCCTCTCTCCACTCAATACATCCATCATTTTGTATGTGTTCATCATTTCCCCGTTCCTTGTTTTTACAGAGTCTTAGTGCATTTCTATAAAGCATATTTTTAAAAACTCTAGTTCTTTAACTTTATTAAAAGGGTATCATGTTATGTACAATCTTTGGGGCTTACTTCATTTTTAGTAAATATTACAATGTCATTCATATTGTTGCATATTACTATGGCTCATTTCTTTTGACCATTATATAAAATTTTCTACTGTGAACACACTGTGATTTATCAATTCATTCTCCAATTGATTAGCATCTGGGTTGCTTCTAGGAATTTATTCTGTTTTTTCGTTTTTGTTATTATGAATAAAGCTGCTGAAAATTCCTGTATATGTCTCTTGTTGAACACACACAAGAGTTTATTTTGGGTATATACCTCGGGTTAGAATTACTGGGTCACAGGAAATATGCATATTTAAATATAAGAGATAATGCAAATCTGATTTTCCAAACTGCACCAATTTAAATTCCATCTGCAACCCTGAAGAGACTCTGTGGACACATATCCTCTCCAATGTTTGATATTGTCAGACTTTTCAATTTTGCCAAGCTGATATAAAATGGTATCTAGTTGACCTTCTTTGATCACTAACAATATTGAACATTTATTCATATGTTAATTTGTGTTTCCTCTTCTGTTAAATATCTATTCATGTTTTTTGCTCACTTTTCTATTGGACTGTTTGTATTTTTCTTGTTGATTTGGATAAGTTCATTCCATGCTCTGGATACTAGTCCTTCATTGGGTTTTGTGTGTGTGTTGCGAATATCTTCCTCTAGTTTGTACTTGTATGTTTACTTTCTTTATCTGTTAATGAACAATGACTCTTAACTTTGATATAACCACACATATCATTTTTTTAATCAAAGATTTTAGAGTCTTTTTAAAGAAATTCTTTCCCACCACAAAGTCTAAAATATATTTACCTATATTTCCAACTAACAGTTTTTAAGTTTTGTTTTGACATCCATCTGGAGTTGACTTTTGTATATGGTTTAAGGTAGGAATTCAATTTTATTTTTTCCCAGAGTCATTTTTTTCTAGCTCCATTTATTGAACAGTCCTGTTTTCCCACTGATAAGAGATGCTTCTGCTGTTAAATGCTGAGTTCCAGACATGCATGGGTTTGAATATATGTATCTAAGAGTTTCAGTATATATATCTAAAAGACAGGAGTTATTTCTAAAAGCCATAAACACAATACCAGTACAGCATCTAAAATAATTAACAATATATCATCAAATATCCAGTCAATATTCAATTGTCTCATAATAATTTTTTTACAGTTTGTTTGAATCAAGATTCAAATAAGCCCCATATATTGCAATTGATTGATATGTGTCTTAAGTTTCTTTTAATCTGTTGGTTCTGCCTCCATCTCTTTTTCTTTTTTCTTATAAATTATTTACCGAAGAAATCAGATTATACATCCAATGGACTTTCTATGGAAAGATTTTTAACCACTACTTCAATTTCTTTAATAGGACATATTCGAGCTTTTTATTTCTTTTAGTCAGTTTACAAGTCATATATTTCCAGAAATTTGTCCATTTTGTCTAAGTTTTCAAAATCTTTGGCATAGTTACTGATAGTATTCTTATTATCTTTCTAATCAATCTATTGCTATATCCCCTTCTCCCCACAATATGATTTGTGTTTTTGTTGCTCTTCTCTTGATTACTACTGCCAATGGTTTATTACTTTTAAAAGGATCATTTTTGGGCATTGTTGAGTTTTTCTATTGTATCTTTATTTTTCATTAACTCTCTCTTATTTTTTTATTTCTTTCCTTCTACTTCTTAAGTTATTTCTAATTTCTAAAGAAGTGCACTTTAATTACTTTTGTCTTCTTTTCCAAAATAAACATTTAACTTATAAATTTTCATCAAAGAGCTACTTTGCTGTATCTCACAGGTTTGATATATATTTTCATTACTCTTTGGTTCCAAGTGTTTTTAAATTTATTTTTTAAACCATGAATTTTTAAGCATTATAAGTTTTTAAACTTCCAAATATATGGGTTCTTCATCTGTCTTTTCATTATTTTTAAAGTTCTAATGTAATTATGAACTCAGGGTCTGATTGATACCTATTCTTTGAAATGTGTTGAGATTTTTCATTATTATCTAGTATACGATCAATTTTTGCAAATGTTCTGTTAGTGCTGGGAATTCCATATATGTCCATTACTCCAATTTTGTTAATTGGCTATTCAAATCTTCAATATCCCTGTAGTTTTTGTCTGGCTCACTTATCAACAATTGAGAGAGGAATACGCACTATGAGGGTGGTTTTATCCATTTTTCCTTGTAGTTCTATTAATTTTTGCTTTATACAATTTGAGGCTATTTTACTAGTGCATACAGTAAAAATTCTTGGGTTTTGAATCTATGATCATTGTATAGTCATTCTTTCCATGCCTAAGAAGACTTTTGACTTAAAACGAATTTAATCTGATACTAATGCCACTAAATCAGCTTTCCTTGAGTTTAAATTTGACTGATAGAACTTCTAACATACTTTTTATTCAATTTTCTATGTCCTTACCCTTTAGGTGCACTTTTTGTAAACCGTATATAAATGGATTATTTTTTTTTCTTTTAACTGGTGAGTTGAGCTTGTTTGTTTGTCTGGCTTTTTCTGAGGAAGATTCACCATGCCCATCTTCCTCTATTTTGCATGTTGGTTGCTGCCACAGCACAGCAAGGCTACTGACGAGTGGTATAGGTCTGCACCCAGGAACTGAACCCAGGCTGCTGAAGTGAAGCATGCTGAACTTAACCACTAGGCCACAGGGTCTGCCCCGGAATTTAGTTTTTTATAATTATTGATACATTAAATTCTATTTTGATTATCTCATTTTTTCAATATTTTTAAATTCTATTAATTATAATACTATTCTTCCTTTTTTCTTTTTGTGAATACTTATGTATAGAATCTCCCTCTTAACAAGACAAGAACACCTTTGGCACATTCTCAAACCTTTTAATGAACCCCCATCCTACTGATATCACTTTTAAATTTTAGGAATTATGGATGCATTTTCTTTATTTTTTGGTCTTAGATATTTTTAAAGACAATAACTGATTTTACTAAAATATTTTGATCACTTTTTCTTCATACATCTTGTGCAACATCACTTAGATTTTTTTCTACCTTTTCTTTAAGTACTCATCCATTGTTTTCAACGTGGGTCTCTGTGTGGCACTATTGTGAGGCTCTTGAGGCCGGAGAATATTTGTATCTCATTCTCATACTTGAATTCCACTTGGCTGAACATAAAACTTCAGTTTCTAAGTTCTTTTCCTTTCAATATTTTGAAAATCTTACTCTATTGTTCTTCTTGCTTCTAAAAAATGCTGCTACTGAAAAGTCTGATGCTTAATCTGATATTAATCTTTCATACTGTAAACTTTTAGAATTTCCTCTTTGTCTTGGATATCCCAAACTTCACTATAATCTGTGTAGGTGTGAGTTTTCCATATCACTCTCCTTTGATACTCCATGGACCCATCAATCTGAGGTCTTTTATTTGTTCATCCATCCATTCATTTATGGGAAATTTAACACTATCGTTTCTCTAAGAAGTCATCATCTAGTTTTCCTTCTTTTTCTTTTGAAGTCTGTATGCCGCCACTTCTACTTCTGTTCTGCATATCCCTTGGCTTTTCCTTTTTCTATTTCTTTGAACTTCCCTTCTTTCTTCTGTGAGATGACACAGAATCTGCTCTTCCAATTCACTCATGTGTTCCTTTACTGTGTCCCTTCTGCTATCTTATCCTCTCTTCTTCTTTATTTTAACTACTACATATTTAGTTTTTAATACGTTTTGGTTCCTTTCTGTTTGTTTATTTATTTCCATATGTCTAAGGTTATCCTTTATCTTTTTTAGTATATTTATTAGGCAAATTTTAAATTTTTGGTCCATGCTAATGTTATTGTTTCTGATGGAATCTATAATATTTTTTTTCTTTTGAAATAGTTATGCTTCTCAAAATATCTTGTTATTTGCCATGTGCATTCATTTTTCTCTGGAAATGTGTATGAGGATAGGCCTAGGGTGACCCACTAGGACTGAGGAGTTTTCTAGGATGCAGGACTAAAATCAGGACAGTCCCAGGTAAACTAGAATGGTCGATCGCCTTACTAGACCCCATTTTGAGTCATGCCAAGTTGTTCAGGGGGTGAGAGTAAATGAGCTTTAGAGTGGAGAACCCTAAATCTGAAAAAATCAGAGAGAGAAGCAACATCAGTAGGAGCAGTCCTTAGATTGTAATTGACCAGCCCAGGGAAGTTAGAGCAGGAGGTATGGGTGGGCAAATGCCCCAAGTCGGTTAGGACCTAACGAGTTTCTTGGCTCCTCACAAGCACAGGGCTTCTGTGGAGCCCTGATTTTCCTCTTGAGTCAACTTAGTTCAGAGTTGTAAGTCACCACACGTTGGGGGGAGATGGGCAGGCAGCGATTTTCCCAAGGCAATAGTGAGCACGAGCATATTTACAACAGCTCTTTTCCTGTTTTATTCTCCCACAGTGTGGCTGGCTGCTTATTGCCCCAGGCCTAAACCACAACTACCCTCTTCTCCCAGTCCCCTTATAAGCCAAACAGTTCAAAAAAAACAAAAAACAAAAAAACCTCTTATTGCTGGGGTTTTCTCATAGTTTTCTCCAGTTCAGGATGTTTCATCCTCTATATTACTCCAGTGACCTTGGAGGAAGGAGCAGTAATAATGCTGGTTCAGCATCTTCATATCACATATTTGTATAGTGGCTGCTAATTATTTTTAAATTTTTTATTAAAAAAACAAAAAGTTTCTTGGATACGTGGAAAATGGCTTTGGAAATGGCAAAGCACCATAAATATTAGTTACATTATTATGGATAATATCAAGATGTGTTCACATGCCTCTGTAGCTTAATTTTTCAAAAATATTCCTATATTTGTACAGGAAATAGCATTAAAAAGATTACTACAACCATATTTGACCAGAAACCACATAATGTCTAACAAACTTCTGATTTTTATTACAAGTATTTATTATTTTTGCTATATTATTACATTTCATACATCTATGAGGCTTTTAATTTCCAAAATGCATCACTAATCTATACTTATTCTTCCTTACAGCTTTTTTATTGAAAAGATTTTTCTACGGCAAGGTATAAAAAGGCATTCTAGGTAAAATACTTTAAATTACATTATTTACCAAAAAGACTACCTTTATATACTACTGGTCTATTGAAATGTTTCTTTTCAATCAAATTGCATTCATTTTTACATAATGCATGTCCATAACAACTACCATGAAAAAAACAACCATAAGCAAAAGTTGTTTTCCTGTCTGTCTTCATTTTTTGTTCCTCCTCCTTCTTCTTTCTACTTGTATTTGTGAAAGTTTAAATTCCTCCTTCTTGATGCCCTCAAGTCCATAATTACTTCTTACGACAATTCTTTCATGATGCCCGCATTATAAATTATTCATTATTTGAATGATGCTTTAATTTCAAATGTACCCTTGTATTCTTTCTACTTTTTCTACTGTATTATTTTCCCTATATTATTTTTACACCTTTTATAACCTTGCTTTGAGATTTCTGGCTTCTGACTTTTTCCCTGATAGTTATCCCCAGAATGGCATTGCTACAGGGAATTAAAGAACCAAGTGATTCTGTATTTCTCTTGCTTCACTTTTACTTCATTTCTGCTTTCTTCCTGTGTATTTGTGGTTCCTTACATCTAGAGTGCTTCCTTCTGCCCCATCGAATCTATTCTTCAGTCACTTCTTTCAAAACCAGGTTCCATGTTAATTTCCTTCAGCAGCTTTCCTTGACTAAACCCATTCTAGTTTACTCCTTGTTTCTCTTGAGCTTTAGGGCTTCATGTATAAACTATACATAATATTATCATATACTAGAAAAGTTTTTGTTTTTGTAATTTTATTCAGTTATTTAGTTATATATTTTGTAATATTTCATTATTTATGTCATATTTTATTATACACCCTTGTAACCTCTGATTTTTCCTTCTTATTAGCATTAATTATAACTATTACATAACGTAAATGTATAACCAGTTGCTTAATGTCTGTCTCATCTGTCTCTTCTGTTTATAATGTTTGTATCTCCTGCTAGATTGCAAGCTCTTTTGGCTAATTGTCTAGTGACATCATTGACATCATCAGAGCCTAGAACAGTATACATAGTAAGTGCTCAATAAATAGTATGATGTCTTTGAAATACCATTCAGGATATTAGTAGAATAAAAGTGCTCACAAATGCTTGCTGATTTTTTTAAAACACCATTTTGTCTGGAATTCCTCATACTTTCTGTAATAGTTGGGATGCATTTGACTGCAAGATGCAGAAAACCTAAGAGACTTTTAACACTTAAACCAAAGGACACTTGCTGTTTACTTAGCCCTTAAGTCCAAAGGTGGGCATTTCCAGTACTGGTTTGACAGTTCAATGTTGTCATCCAGGACCTAGGTTTTTTCACCTTTCTCCTAGGCCATCCAAAACTGGTTAGTTTTCAACCTCAGCCACAAGGTGACACAGCCCAAAGATGCTGGCCACATTCTCATATTTCACTGTGCCAAGCAGGAAACAAAGGGAGTGACATCAAAATGGGACTATCTACTCACTCTTGAGAGAATTCCAGAAATTCCCCAGCCTCAGAAGCCTTCTCCCCATTCCAGTGGTGAGAATTGAGTCATGTGCCTGCTTCTGGACTAACCGTGGGCAGAAGGGAAAGCACCGCCATTAATGATCAATCCTGATTCATCTCATTCTTTTCAGCAAAAAGCGAAGGAAACTGCTCGGCATTCGAGCAACATTGTGTCTGCTCTTCTGCTACGTTAAATGAACCACACTAAGGCTCTTTTTTTCTTCAGAACCTTCACGTTCTTAAGATTCTTCAGGCTTTTTCTTTTTTCTCCTTATATTTTAATCATTAAGCCTTTTCCTTCAGAAATTTTTTCTGCTTAAAATTGCCTTTTGAAGCACTTACTTTCTCAACCAAAAGTTTTCTTTCACTGACTTGTTTACATACTCACTTAATGCCTATATTCAATTCCTTTTCTTTTCAAAAGTGCTGAGACATATCACATTTTCTAAAGAGAAATAAGTTTATTTTGCCCCTTCCTTTCCATTCTACATACAAAGAAACATTCTGTTTCTCAACTGTATTAGGAGCCTCAGAGGCTAAGGAGATATCTTCTGCTCTCTTTATAAATGCCAGCAGCATTTTGTGGGTGGGAAATGTACTTGACTTGTCCTTCCCCTTTATGGTTAAACAGAGACATGTAAGCTTTAATAGGAAGCAATAGGAATCAGAGTTTTATAGCCAGGAAGCACTAGTCATATTACAAATGCCCTCTAACTTGTTTATATTCAATTCTTTGCATACTACCTTCTTGCTAGCATCAGAGTCCCAGAACACCATGTATTTCTCACTTCATTCCACCTTTTCCAACATCTTTCACAGAAGCAAGGAAAGGAGCTGGGTTTCCATGGCAACACAAGTGTGACAGTTGAGGGTATCTGGGCATAGGTGAGATAACTCTCAAATTCAGTGGGGAGAGGAGATATGAAGTTTTTCTTTCTTTCTTTTTCTCCCAGCAAGGCACTTCTGAAGCTAAAGAGACCCTGAAGTGTCAGTGTACAATGTTAAGTTTTCACTATTGTACAGATTTACAGCTCTTGGGGAAAATCCAATTTCATTTTATCTCATTTTTATTTTGTCTTTTCCACAAACAAATGAATGAAGACATATGTTTTTATTTGTAAAGTCACTCTCAAAACAGATAGCTCATGCTGGCATAGGAATGAACATGATTAAGGGATCAGACGACAGACACCCGTCTCCCATGCATATCTGCAAAATTCTCTACATGTCCTGACATCCTTTCTTATAGTAGCTAATCCTTCAATCAGCATTTAACATACAGCCTCAAATCAGGTAAGTACCATCATCCAAGACAGAATAGGTGATAAAATATGCTCCTACTCATATTTCTTTTACCTCTTAGTAGTTAAAAATATACCTTTATGCCATTGAGAATGAAAACCGTGGCCTGTCAATATAAGAAATATAAATGAGGTGCAACTACCACAAGGGCTGAAGTCTCTACATTTCTCCTTATCAAGAAAGTCAGCAGTGATGAAAGTTCAGGGAAAAGAACCTGTGATATGCCAAAAAGCTCGCCCACTCTCCATTATGCTAGGTGGAGTGACTAGGGAGCCCACTCACTATTTTTTTTGTGACAACTTCTATCAGATGCACTCCAATCCAGAGCTTCTCAACTTCTGGGGACCTAGGATATGAAAACAGTTGCTTAAGGTTACATTCTGGAACCAAAATGCCAAGGTAAATTTCTTAAAAAAAAGTCACTGGACCTTTACTCCTTGCAAAGTGAATGGTTTTTCAGCTCCACTGTAATGTAAGGTACTACGCACATTGTGATGATCTATACAGAGAGAAACTTTGATGCTTCTTGGCTCTATTTAACCCCCAACAATCCTAGGAACTTGTTATCATCATGATACACAATTTAGATCTTAAAAGAGAGAGTCTGTTTTTCCTCTGCAAGAAGTCTAGCTGTTACTAAGCTAAAGTAACCATAAATAAGCACACGAGTTTTACACAAAATATCAGACTTCTAAAAAGCTAGGTGAAGAGTGTTCACACACATTCTCTTGAAACATCCCTGCCAAAAAAGCTTAGATATGACGCTTCACTTCATATCCATGTGAGCTCTCTTAATTTTAATTCACTTATTCACGTTAGTAGCTTAGGATGAGATATCAGATCCTCTTCGGTTTCAATTCTCTTAAAACATTCCTCTGATTCTTAGTTCTTTTGCAAGCTGCCTTCACTGCTGATTCTGATGGCTCGGATATGACTTCTTATATTTCAATGATATGTAACCAAGAAATAATTGAGTTATATTTTACTACACATTTTGACAGGAAACTTGTCCTCAATTATTTTAAGCAAAAACTTGGTATGTGTTATATTATAGCAAGATAATGCAAACGTAGTTATCCATTCTAATATAACGTAGTGACAGAGCAGTAGAACACTGCTAAATCTCAGTATATCTTTGTAGTAGTGTGATAACTGACAGAAAAGATGGTGAAAGAACACCTGTCTTTTTGAGGAACTCAGACCAAAATCCTCTCGACATGATGTCCTTGTGGGGAAAAGAAAGGGTGAAGAGTTATGCCATGATCAAACATTTAAAGCACGGACATTCGTTATTCCCAAGAAATGTGAGCTAGTAAAGGCTGGGTGCCGACTAGCTCAAGAGACACAGTTTAAGGAAGGTAAATCTAATACGAGTTACTGCAAAATATAATCCAGGAATATCTGGGGATATAATTTCTAAATGTGACGTCATGGGTGGGAGAGAGTGTGTAAATTCTAATGCTGAGAGAGACAACGGTAAGTTTTAAAACTGAGTAGTTAAAAAAAAATGTTTTAGGAAGCACGCACGGAGGAACCATGCAACTGCCGCAGTACGTCTCCTTAAGGACCGGAAAATTTCTCACCCTAAAAACAAAAGTCCCTGTTTTCTCGATTCATCCCACGCTTCAGCCCACATCCCTCAGCACCAATTCCACGCCCATCATTTAGGCAGAATGCCACGGAGACGACCTTAAAAGCGGAATTCATCACTCCCGCCTGCAATACATCTTGCTCCAGGCCAGAACGGGGCACAGCGACCAGCGCCTCAATCTCTGACCCCTCCCAAACCCCACCAGCCCCGGCCCTGTCTGCACACCACCGGCCCTGGGAGGCAAAGGAATCACGAATTCTGGTTGGCTCAGCCCAAGCCTCCATCACTCGTCAGCTCACCTACGATTGGTTGGCAGACGGTGCGCAGGAGCAAACGCCCAGCCGGACCAAGCAACGGGGGAGGTGGGTTGGCTGATCCTGCGACTAGACATTATCCCCATTGGCTGATGCACGGGCGTCACGTGGTATGAAGCGGCCGTCTATTGGCCGAGAATGCTATCATGGGGTCCAGAGACGTAGTCTGGTTGGCTGGGATGAATCCCAGCTTCCTACTAGGTGCCCCAACTGGCTGTTGCTATGAGGTGTCCTGGGCCTTCTGGCTGCGGCTTGGGGCTCCGCTCTCCCGGTTTTTCAAGCGCCCGCCGCTGACAGGGCGTGGGAAGAGCTCGACTTCACTCGGGCACTGAAGAAGGGCGGGGCTGGGGGAAGGTGGGCGGAGCTCCGGCGACGTCACCGGGCGTGGGCCCGGCTTCCGCGGTCTCTGCCCTTCGCCGCCTCCGGCAGTGGGGCGGGTGGGGTCTGTCACCTCTCCCTCAGTGTCCTGACGCTAAAAGCAGAGTTTCATGTCGTTGTGTTTATACGCGTCCTCTTAAACAAAGCTGCTTCTCGTTATGTTTATACAAGATAAAACCGAAGCTCTAGGGCATGCTGACTGGATGGGGTTGGGCAAGGCCCTCACGCCAAGGCCTCCTTTTGGACCTTGCCCATCTCTGCTTCTCACTGCTCGCTTCAGCTTAAAGCCTGCAGGTTGCTCTGGCCCCTCTAACATCTTGGCTCCGCCAAATTCTGAGCGTGGGAGTCTCAAGTTGACGAGGTTCCCGGCTCAGGCGGACGAACTGCGCATGCTCAGTACGCAGGCCCCGGGTTCGGTGGGGCGTGTGGGGCGGGGTACTCTTGGCCGGCCGAGGTGGTTGTTTATCTGAGCGCGGGCAGAGGCTTCCGCGCGGCGCAGAGCCTCCCGGGAGCGCGCGCGGCCGGTCGCTAGGCGACGGGGTAGGAGGGGCGGGGCTGCGTCTCCGGGCCCCGCCCCGGGCCGCCGGGCCCCGCCCCCGGCAGTGCTGCGACTTGGGCTCGGGCGCGCGCTCCGGCGCCGGGGGAAGCGGCGGCGGCTGGCGGCGGGCGGGAGCTGGGCGTGGAGGCGCGAGGGGCGGGGCTGGCGGGCGGCACTGCGGGCCCACGGCACGGGCGGCTCCGGCGGCTCCCGCTTCCTGCTCGTCCTCAGTGCCTGCCGGCGCCCGCGGGGCCGCGTTGCCGCCCGGCTTGGTCCATGCCCAGGGCCGCTGCTTCCTCCGCCGGCGCCCGGGGGGCCGCGGCGGCCGTGAGGTGGGGGCGGCCGCGGGAGGCGGCGGGGCCGGCCGCCGGCGCAGGGTCCGGGGGCGCAGCGCGGCGGGCGTAGGTCTATGTCGCGGGCGGCGGCGGCGGCGGCGGCCGCGGAGGGACGATGCGCGAGTACAAAGTGGTGGTGCTGGGCTCGGGCGGGGTCGGCAAATCCGCCCTGACCGTGCAGTTCGTGACCGGCACCTTCATCGAGAAATATGACCCCACCATCGAGGACTTCTACCGCAAGGAGATCGAGGTGGACTCGTCGCCGTCGGTGCTGGAGATCCTGGACACGGCGGGCACCGAGCAGTTCGCGTCCATGCGGGACCTGTACATCAAGAACGGCCAGGGCTTCATCCTGGTCTACAGCCTCGTCAACCAGCAGAGCTTCCAGGACATCAAGCCCATGCGGGACCAGATCATCCGAGTAAAGCGGTGAGAGGGCCGGGGCTGCGGGCAGGGGACTTCGCGGTGCGGCCGGCGGCCACTGTCCCGGGGCCAGAGCTCCCTCCGCGGTGCTCCGGGGTGGCCGTGGGCAGGGCGATCTGGCTAGGGAGATGGCTCCGGGGTCTTGTGCTTTATAATAAATTTTTGCCAGCATCACCATCCTCATCATCTTGAATCTCAAATTTGAGTGCTTTGTTTCACAACTCAAATTTGGCATCCCGTGAACCCACAGCACAGTTCTTTGTCTCTTGGATATTATTAGTGGCGCTTGTGCAGAACCCCAAAGGAGGCAAAGTTTAAAACTTGCAGGGGGGAGTGGGGTAGGTAGATTTTTGTTGGGAAGAGGGGAGCTGTGGAAGTATAGTGGAGACATTTTCAGATTGAATAACAAAAAAATCTACCTTTGCAATATTTCACATCAAAAATTGTTCACATATATGCTGTAAAAATGTCAAGTCGAGAGGAAAGAGATCTTTCTCGTCTCATAAAAGATTGAATGGTGCCAAGGTGTTTTACAAAAATGAACTCTTCAATTGAGACGAAACTTTAAAGACAGATTATCAAATTATTTGAAGACATAGCAGTTTCCTGGGATTGAGAGAGTATTAGCATATGGGAGTACAAATATGCCATTCACATTAAAGAATGCGGCTTAATTTTTTTTTTTAGTCTAGCTGCCTTACCGTTCAAAAAAAGAGGAAGCTGAAAACAAAACAGAAGTTTCTTCAAGGTGTGACTCAAGTATTAGATAATTTAAAGTTAATGCAGATAAGGTCTTTCCTGATATAAACTCTTTTCTAAAGTATGCTTTTTAGAAATATGGCTGGTAGCTTAAGTGGCTTAAAATGTTTGTTTTTCTCTTAAATTGACTGAGTATATTGTTTCGATGATTTCAAGCCTTAAAAATGTGATACTATCTTAGTTCAAAGTTTTAGCAAATTATTCTAATTTCTGTTTAATTACACATGAATGTTTTGTCTGGTTCTTGTTATTGGTTAATAATTGCTAATAATTTTGATTTGGCGTCATTTCCTTTTTCCCACCTAATTCTTCCTATAGCCTAACTTGAAAGACATTTACTGAAAGACAGTTGTAAGTGTACTATAGACACAATCATATTTTAAGTCAGTTTCAGTCTGCTCATTTTCAAAGAGCCAGGACCAAGTCACGTGTATTAAGTCAGAGAGTGCTCAAAAATTCATTACCAGTGGTGGATTTATAATGCAACATATGAGATCAAAGGGGAGGCCCTCTCTCCATGCCCCCCCTTAACTCATTGAATATGCAGTTTAATAGCTAAACTAAAGTTTTGTGTGTTATTTCTTTCATTAAATTTCAAACTAGAATAAAGTGAATTTTTTCATGGCCTCTGCTGCTGCCCTAAGATCTATGAATCTGATAAGTTTTTTCTTCTCCAATCTCATTTTCATAATTGCTTATAGTTAACAAACAAACAATTTTGGTGTTAACCTTAATGTGTATATGTCATTTAGGGGCTACATTTTAGTGACTCATATCCTTAATTATTATCCCCACCCAGACTATTCAAAAATAACCCAAACACAACTACAGAACAGAGTAGTCTAATATATTTAACATGGCAATCTTAGGCCATATACGTATATCAAATAGTCAAAGTAAATGCCTCACCCTTCACGTTTAAATATATACATATAATACATGCATTGATAAAGTCGCATACCCAGGGCAAACTTCTTGAGACAAGCCTAGGGAACAGAATATGGCAAAATATCATTGGATAGGGTAGTCCACATGATTTGTAGTTTCTTATGGTTTAGTGCAGATTACTAATAATGGGTCAGTCTGAACTTGGTACAGTTTATTTGTAAACTGGAACAATTTATTTGTTTGCATTGTGACCCAGGAAGAAAAACAGAGTAAAACTCTACTTATCCGGATGTCATCTCCCTCACCAGTCTCAGTTCTTGATGTAAAAACATCATTGATCAGCTGAAAGTGAGTTTATAAACTCTTTTCACTGGAATTCATCCATTGTATCAGTAAGAGTCACTTGGGCCCTTGTGTGTCCTGATAGTTGTGTGTCATCCTAACCTCATCATCTGAGCTCCCAGCCTATATAGCATATGATAAACAACTTACGTTGAAAAAAAGAAAGGATCTGTACTTTATGTATACTACAATATAATATACGTTTATTATGCTAAAGCAGGTATTGAGTATAGTTCTTTAGCTCTTCCCACTTAGAATAAAACATGATTTTCTAATAAGTGAATTTTCTACTCTTTTTGGGGATTAATTTTTAAATTAACCAGTTGCTATATGAGGTATTCAGTAATCATTCCCTCCCCTCTGCCCGCTAGCTGCCTTCCATATTATATACAGCAGTTGTTTGGGGATATTTAATATCACCATAAAGCACATGACATAAATGAAGTGCAGAGAGGTTTGGTATTTTGCCCAAGGCCAGTCACTGATGGAGAGGAGAGTTAAACCATGATCTGCATGAATCCATGTACTCCCTTCTTTTCATCCACACCAGGCTGCCTTTCAACTTGGTGTTTACTGGCAGTTTCAGTGTCTGGCCTTTGGTCTAGGGTAGCACTGATCAATGGAAATATGATGCGAGCCACATATGTAATTATAAGATTTCTAGTAGTTGATTTAAAAATATATAAAGCAGGTGAGATTAATTTTAATAGTACTTTTTATTTAACCCATCATATCCAAAATATTGTCATTTCAACATGTAATTAGTATTCAAAAATTATTGATATGTTTTATTTTCTTTTTCATACCGAGTCTTCAAAATCTGGTGTATAATTTACACTTAACAGCACATCTCAATTCAGACTGGCCATATTTCAAGTGCTCAGTAGCCACATGGGGCTACAGGCTACCACTGGACCACACAGGTATAAGGTGTATATATTTTGGGGGAATGCTTGTTTCTCTAAGCCTCGGTTTCCTTGTCTGTGAAATAGAGCAGAGCATGCCTCTCAGTCTTTGTTAAGATTAAATGAGATAATATATTTTAAGGTGTCCAACACAATACCTCAAACACAGTAATTGCGCCAAAATTCCAGCTGTTCTTTTATTAATAACTTTGTTACCCTACCTTCTTTAAATTTTGTCCTTGATATAAATGTAATTTTGGAGGAAATGAATTTGTGATTGCATGTTGAAATTCCCTACCTAGTGTAGACAAGATGAGACTGAAAAGCAATGCAGGTTAAAACAATCCTTGGAAAAATTTTGTTGGTGTTCTCTTAAAATATTTTTCCTTTTAAGAATCATATGAGAAAGAGCAAGAGAATGAATATTTAACTTCAAGTATAGCACTAAGGTATGGCCACACAGTGAAATGGAGCTTTTCATTGGATTGTTACTGTATGGAATGTCTTGCTTTAAAAAAAATGTAATAGAGGCCCACACTTCCTTAAGTGTTAACAGGTGCACGGACATCCATATACATACAGAACCTCCTTTCAAAGCCAAGGGGACCAACTGAAAAATGGCTATATTTATAAATTCGTATGCTTTCTTTTTTTAACTTGACTTTGGATAAGATCACAAACCCAAGGAAGAGTGATAGGGATGCAGAAAATGTTTCAATTGAAATGAAATTCTTTCTGATTTCATAGTTGCTTTTCTCATTCCTCCCAGGATAAGCCATGGGCCTGGCTTGAGTATCTTGGAACATGTTTCCCAAGGCTTGTTGTTCTTAAGATAAAGCCCAGAAATCTTCAGCATGAACCTCCCAGGCCCAGCATGCTCTTGTCCCTGACTGCCTTTGCAGCCTCACCTCTTGTAACCCTCCTCGTCCATTAGATTCCAGTACCCAGACCTTCTTTTACTTCCTTGAAAGTGTCCAGCTATGGGTTCTCTACCTGTAGGAATCATCTACCTTTTGCAGAGTTTATTCCTACTCACTTTTTCGCTCCAGCTTAAAAGTTTTCTCCCTCAGGAAAGTCTTCCCAAACTGAATTAACTCCTTCCTGTCTTCCCACACTCAGCCCTTCCCTCAGTGAGTGCTTCAGACAGCAGACAGCACTGGCACCCTCTACTTCCCTCTTCATGTAGCACTCATCAGTTTAATTATTTGTGTGATAATTTGCATACAGTCCATCTTTGTCATTAAATTCTAATCGCATGTGGCAAGCACAGCTCCTGGCACATAGCAAACTATCAAGAAAAATACATTGAAAAAAAGTAGTGTTCAGAAAGAGAGGTATTTTTATTTTCCTTTGGCCTTAGTTTCCCCAAACATTTTAATTTTATAGATGGAAGAGATGATTCTTGAAAGCTCATTTTGCAGATGGAGGTGGTCTTCCTTCATCTGTAACATTCTGTGAGAGTACTTCTATCTAATTGAGGCGACGGGGCAAGAGGCCAAGTTTAACATGAATGTTAAAAAATCAGGAACACGATGTTTTCAAGGTACAGGAAATGACATGGGAGATGCATAGAATATGTTTGTTAGCTGTTAAATAGACCAGACTGGCTAAACTAGAAATTTATATAGGAGCGTGAGAGGAGGTAAAGGTAGAAAATGTAAAGCTAAATTACAAAAGGTCACAGACTTTGGGCTTGATCTTGTAGTCGAGGACCGTGATCAAAATTGTTAAAGCAGTAGTAATAGGATGGTGATGTGATGGCTTAGTGGCAGTAGACCCGAGCCAGGAGGAATAGTTGTGAAACATTGTGATAATCTAGTTTCTATATGAAGTATAAAGATTCTAAATTACCCTGGTGTCTGTAGGAACAAAAAAGAAAGAATGGATGCAAATAATGTTGTAAAGAATGAATTAATCACACTTAGTGGGAGAGGGAGAGGAGAAGGTCAAAAGTAACCTTGACGTTTGGAACATGAGAGAATAGGATTATGGAGGGATAGCTGGGGGAGATTATTTCGGCTTTGGAGATGGTAATCATCCAGATAGATGCACCTAATAAGTAATTAGAATATTTGAATAAAGCCTGAAAGGTCATTTATGTATGGATATGAA